CTATAGGTAGATTACATGTGTAATCAGGATAAACAGGCAAGTAACCATTGGTAGCCATGGTAACAACAACTACATGCGTGACAGGGTAACACACTAAGTGCTTCAGCCTCGGGTCGGGTTCGGCCTGAACTGCACTTCAGTCTGACGGTGTTTGTTGTGTGTAGTTGAATTTACTTAAATGAATGAACTCTTACTGTCATATAGCAAAATATATTCAGACTGATTCCAGCTCTTAATTATTTTCTGTTATTTCATTAATTCAGACTTTAATTAAATTCCTTAGTTTCATTGGCTCGCGTTGAATCTAAATCTCAGTGAAACAGATGCATGTTCTTCTCTCGGGTTTGTTCTATTTGTTCCTTGTTAAATGGCTTCAGTATCTATAATTGTTATTAATTAATACTATTTGTTTCTGTTTTTAAAAGATGATCACTGACTATGGTTTTAATACAAAACCATTCTCGACCTTATTGTCAAACACTTCATACATACACAAGCCTTGTCTTTAATTAATGAGGCTAAATTTAGGATTTAGATCACAGGAATACTTTTTAAAATCACAGCTCAGGGATGTTGAGGATTTTGTGTCATTAAATGCTGCAGTTGTTTGCAGTTTTTTACCCCAATGAAAAACTCTAAATTTCATCTTAGTAACAGACCTGACAGAACTGCCTTTGAATTTTTCTTGGTGAATTTAAGTGGGACATCTGTTGATCACCTGCATTGCTCAGAAAGTTGCTGGTTGCCCCGTTGCCTCTGACTATGTGGTTTCTGCTTCAGGTCTCTGGGTTTATTGTCAGCTGCTTTTTGGCAGGACACTGAACACAACACTGGTCCAGTGGAGACAGTAAATGCAACCTTGTATATTTGACAAAACAAATAGTGAACTAACGGATTCAGTGGATGGCAGATTTACTGACATGCCCAATTTTGTAGAATTACTTCTTAAATTGTCACAAAAATGTTTTTCATTTTCATGCAGCAGGTTTTGGATTTGCAAGATTCATTGATAAACACACTTTGTGGATTGTAACGGCTTCAGTTTCCTCCGCTGACAGTCGCACACTGCAGTACAGAGCTACTGTGGCTGTACTGGTCAGCTCCCAGTACACTGTAAATGTGCTCAGTCAGTGTTCTCTGCACTAATAAAGGTCAAAGCTTTAAATGTCTGTTCCGCTGAGGACACAGAGTCACAGTCCTGCTGTCTCCAGTGCAGAGTTTTGACATTACTCTCATCCTTTGTGGGCACAATCAGCAGATAACGATGATGTGGAAAAACCCAAATGCAGTTAGTAGTTAAATGTCTTTAATTTGGAGCAGAGCTGCCGTCCTCCGGTTTGTACAAAAGAAGCATAATCTAATTTCTCTTCATTTGGATGTGAACAAACTTCTTTCACTGCAGGGTGGAACAAAAGCAAATCCCCCTGCCAGTGAGTGTGCTGGTGCACAGCGTATATGTGTGTGTGAATGTGTGTGTTTTGTTCGTCTGTGCTGTTGAGGTCCAAATGTCTTCACAAGGACAGAGACGATGTTTAAAGCTGAGGACATTCTAGAAATGTTTATTCTTTGTGTTTTTGTTGAAGTTGAAGTGCAGGACTCGGGTCTGTGTGTGTCCCGTAATAAACCAAACCTACATGAAGGTTATGATGTTTAGTTTCTGTTCCAACTGTTTTCAAGAGGTCTTGATATTTAGTCCAGCCCATTAATATCAGTGAAGGCTAGCTAAATAACAGAGACACCTCTGTATAATGTAATACAGTTCAACAGCACAAACTGATCACAAAGTGGAATCAACACATAGTAAAACTGCACATTATACCCTTCATGATTTATTGCAGGACTGTTGGGTCAGAATCTATTAGCCTTTAGCAAGGTGTTCCTAATAAACTGGCAACTGAGTATCTGTCACTTTGGCTGGATGAAAGCAGGGAAATTTAATCTTTTGATGTCTAAAAATGTGGTTTTGTTTGCTAGTTTAAAGTCAGTAATGTGTAACACTGAAGGCATGCTCCCTGTTTATAAAGAAAGTGAAGGTGGAAGAAATAAGATGATGTTTATCTGATACTCACTTTGCTCTGAGTTAATGATTGAAGGTCGTCACATTTTTAATCTACAGGCCATGTGATATAAAACACTGATATCATTTGGGACATTTAAATATTGTCAGTTTGTCAAATTGTCTGTGACACAAAACCGGACTATTGTCTTAAGTTTCACCGCTCACCCCAGAGGAAAGGAAACACTGTGAGGAATCACTGAACTAAACGACTTTGGACGATATGTGAGTTTGACTTCTGAAGCTTCGTATTAACTTCACCTTCTGGATTTTTCTGCTGCATTAATAAAACTGAGGGTGACGGAAATTCGTTTTACATAAGTATCCTGTCATGAAATGAGGCGATGAAGAAGTGGAGACTTTGACCAACAAGTGGCACAAGAAGAAAAGTCTGTAAGATTTATCCCGCGAGGACCATGAACGTGTGAGCCAGATTCCATGTTTCTATGTTTGACAGACATGAGCATCACTAATGTGGTTAAAACAAATTCTATATTCAATTTTTGTTGAAAGCAGGTTTTATATGTATGGGCAAAACAGGTCCTTCGTAAACAAAGATTGTGTGCAGAGTCTGCCACAGTCCTGTCACTTTGAACAATGTCATGTAAAAGAGTTGTTCCATCTGTAAAACAAACCAGTTTGTGGCCAAACGTCTCTAATTTGCAATCAGCACGATCTCATTTCACTGCGACTCTGTGAAAGACGAGCTCCTAATTCAATTCCTTTCAATTTAGATTCCACAGATTAAAACTCCTTCATGTTTTGTTTTTTTTTTCTCCATAATTGTGTAAGAAAAAATATGTCAAAGTTTGTTTTTTCTCCCTGCAGCGAGTTTCTCTGTCAAATCCACAGAAAAATTGTTTGAAAGGAAAATATATAAACAGGCTGACTGAGCAGAAAACTGGAAGAGATGTAAACAAAAATAAATTGGTGGCAGAAAAAGAGAGGATGGATAGAGGAGAGACAGAGGGAGGAGAAAAGAAAGAGGAGAACAGAGAAAGAGAAAGTGGCAGAGACAGAAATGATGGATAAAAACTGAGTAATAGAGGAATAAAGATGCAACAAAACTCTACTTTTATTAACTATAATTATTCCATGTTCCATATTTTTAATGAGAACTGCGTGAATGTCCCGTTTGTCACTTAAACATTTAAACATTTAAAGCAGCTGAAATCAGGGAAATGTCGACTTGGTGTCATGTTTTTCTGCTTTGGAAGAGTTTAAATCTGATTAGAGCAAAGTGAGTTTTATAAAATAAACTTTTTTTTTTTACTTCACGGTTGAATGTAACAGGGAGGATGATGATTTTAGTCACTGTTTCAACAGGAGCTTTCTTTAACTCTCACCAGAAAAGAACCACGTTGGCAAAAATATAAGACGATATTTGTTTCTGTTGATTACGTTTGAAAAAGTATCAAAGGGTCAATTTATTTCTGCTCATCAGATTTGATTTTGAATGGAGAGAGTACCAGAGCAACAGAGAGTGTTGCATTATGGGTTGTTTGTAGCCTTAATGTTGCTGGAGTAGAGGGTGTTTCCAAGTTATTTTATAGCGAGTCAGTCAGGCCTTTAAGTGTTTCCTCAGTTCTCTTTAACCTACAGGAGTTTCTGAAGGCCGGTGTTACCACAAAGGAAATAAATGAACGACGAGTGAAGACGAGTTCACAGCGTCTCCTGACGACATCACTGCAGAAATTAATCAGGTAGAAAATCTGTCAAACAGCCGAGAATCACAGCTGATGAGCTCAGGAAGATGAAGTCTGAAAAATAGTGTCAGAGAAACTGACTGACGCTTCAACAGTCTGACAGGAGAGAGTGAGAGTCTGTGATTGACAAAATACAGAAATGTGGGTTTTATGCATTACTGTTTCATGTTCCACTCATATGAGAGAAAAGGCTTCAGTAACTCTTCTGCTTGTCTTCGTATTTCCTACCCTCAAGAAGTCGTTTTCTGAAAAGCTCATGTTGGAAAAGGAGGGGTCATCTTATAATCAGTGTCGTCCTATAGTCAGGACAATAGGGCGATACATTTATTCAAAGTGAATCATTTGATTTTGCAACATAGCCTGAAAATTGTCAACCCAAACAAGAACCATGTGGACATCCAATTTAAAACATGAACATCACTAAATTAGAACCAGGAGGTTTTTATAAATCAGTTGAAGTATGTCGACATACGAAGGACAATCCTGGATGTGTATATTTTTGTTTACAGAAGAAGAAGAAGATGAGAAGTTTCAGTGGAAAAACATCTTTTCTAAAATAAAAGAAAAGAGAAGAGGAGAAAGAGAGAGATTGGACAGAGTGTCATCACTAGGCCACAGCGTGCCCACATCTTAGCAAATAAAGACTTCTTCCCGCCTTGTTTTGGCTGGCTCAGCTGGTCGGACATAAATCAGACGGCAGCAGGTTTGTAAGAAACCTGCGTTCGCTGCCTTGTTTTTGTGGCGAGCCGTAGGCTCTCTTCCAGTCACACAGTTTAAATACTGTCGGTAATAAAATTAAAAAGACATCCAAAGAAAACTGCTGTTTTTTTTCCGCAGACAAACCAGAATCAGAGCAGAGAGATGACTTGTGTTTGGAGCATTTAGACGTTAAGAGTCACATTTAGAAACATTCAGCTGATGGTTTTATCAGTGTTCAGTGTTGATTTAACACAGGGCAGCTGAGGTAACTGAACCTCTCCCCTTTCAGTTAGACAACGATCTTTGCATCACTTTAAACACCTTTTCCTGACTATTCAACTAGTGCACATGTTTCACTTCCTCACTTCATCACTTGTTCTGCAAAATTAACTTATGACCTGATGGAGTTTTAGATGAAAATATTTTATGTTATATCAGTAAATGTCTTGTTTTTTTGTTTCTAGATCTGCCGTTCTGAAACACAAAGGGAGAAATCCAACGAGAGAAGTAAGTAAGAGAGGTCAGCAGTGTTTGCTCACAGTTTTCGTCCTGGGCGATGCACTGCAGCGGGATGCCGAAGAAGGAAGTGTAGGAGTCGTTGTACCAAACCAGCAGCTCCGTTCCTCTGGGGATATCCATGCACGCTCTGTAGAAGATACAGGACCTGCAATGAAACACAGACACACACGTTTAATTTGAAAAGTGACATACAAATAAGATTTTTTACGACTGTTGTCATCTTTTTGAAATCATGGCAAAGGTATATTCTGACAATATCTGAATAGAAAAAAAAAATGCTGTGAAGATGCAGAACAGGATTCATGGGGATCTAGTTTAGAGTCTGAATGTGTTGTTCAAGTCAAGCTAAAGAAATCAAGACAATGCTTCCTTAGCTAATTAAAAACAAACAAAGTTTCTTTGCCTGTCTGTCTGTCTGTCTGTCTGTCTGTCTGTCTGTCTGTCTGTCTGTCTGTCTGTCTGCCTGTCTGTCAGAGAAAAATGTGAGTAACCTCTTCCTAACACTGACAGCTGATCTGTGGTTATGTCATGGATTTGAACTTGATGATGCCAAAAAAACAATTGGAGATCACAAGAAGATTAAAAGGACAGAAGAACAGAGAAAAACATTATAGTTACAACATTTCTTTTGTTTTTTGTTTCCAGACCTGCTCCAGATCTTTGCTTTTTCATTGTGAAATAATTTACTTTTCAAGCCTGAAGAATATTGAAATTAAACACCAAACAAAAAACATCTGTCTTCTCTGAACTGGTCACAACTGCCAACAAAGGGTTACAAGTTGCAAAAGATGAAGCAGATCATTTTCTTTGCAACAAAACGACTTGTTGACCTGCTGGTGGTGCTAGGCGAGAGGTAAAAGTAGATGTTTGGACTCACTTGATCTGTCAGTCGGACATTATCATCATCTCTCAGCGCTGCCTCTGACAGGGCAAAGACAAACTGCTGACTAACGGTGCTGGATACGGGACAGCGTGACTCTGTCCAGGTCTGATTTTGGAAATGCCTCCCATCTGATAACAGCTTGATTTCACATCTGACCAAACCCAAATGATTTATGGGAAATATCTGGTGTCTCTCACCCTCTTCGGACCCAATTAATGACCGTGATGTTGTTCAACCACGCAGCCAGTGAGCTGACAGTTCCCGGGTCACACCACCACTAAAACAACACCTCGTCCACCCAAAAACATCATTCTAACAACATGAGCAACCTCCACGTTCAAAACCACATTTTCATATCCAGCCCAAACTATTTTAAAACACTTTCCCACATTTTCTGCTCCCTCTGGTGCAGCGGGGTGTCAGACAGACCAGATCATAATTGAAAGGTCACAGGTTCAACTCTCACACGACTCCCATGCCAAAGTGCCTTCGAGCCAGAAAACAAATCGCTCTTTACAAACAGCTTGAGACAACCACTTAAAGTGAAAAGAGATGATATTTAATGGAAACCATTAACTGCTTTTCACTGTCCAGATAATTCAAAGCACATTGAATTTCCCCATGAGGGAAATGTTCAACTGATGAAGTTTGACTCGACTTCACCAAAACGACTCTTGATTCAATCAAAAGTCCCATTGAACCTTCACACTGTTCAACTGTGTCCATGTTCCACGACAGCGAGCCTGCTCAGCTGAGAAATGCACAAACATGAAGAACCAGACTACAACTGGATTCAGGAAAAATAATTCCAATTAATCATGATTTTTATTTGAATATTGATTCTTAAAATCCGAAGGTTGATCTTTGTGTTTTTACTTTTTCTCAGTAAACATGTGCAGTGTTATGTGTTGGGAGTGACATCTGTGAGAAAAGACTGCGCACTGATCTGAGCTCTCGGTGTGTGTTTGTGTGTGTTCGAGATATTATCTCCGGGTGTGAGATGTGAGGCCATGGAAGTCGACTGAGGTGTGTGAGGATTCTACGTTATTCAGTCTGTCCCTGCTGGTGTTTTGGTAATCACACATGCATTTACGTACTGACTTGAGTCTTGTTTGAGTAACAGTTTCACACAGAAGAAAAATTCAGGCTCAACATCACACGTAGTTACTGAAGCTGTTGAAAACAGGAAGAGAGCGATCTCTCCCCGTGAATCTCTGTCCGTCTTCATTAAACTGTCAAACCTCTGGTTCGTCTAAATATTATCTTGTGTAACCAAAGCTTCAAGAGCAGATCAGAGCTGATATCCAGCCCTAAACCATAGTGGTGGTTTTAACATGTTACCCCATTATCTAAAAAACATGTTTATGCTCCTGCTGATCATTTTCTAAATCAGAAGATCATTTTTAGTGTTTTCTTCAAAGTAGGTGTTGGTTCATTTGGTTTATATGAAAGACTTAAATAATCCATCATCGTCACAATTTAGACAATTTTTTCTGTCAAAGTGATTCTCAAGGGAAGAGGGAGATAAACAGAGAGAAAGAGAATATGAGGAGAAGACAAATAATTAAAGGAGAAAAAGATAGACTACAAAATAAAGACAAAAAAAAGGGAGGAGGAGGAGGATGATGGGAACTCTCAGTTGCATGACTTGATGCTTATTTAATGAAGTGAGGACACACCAAACTAAAATACCAAGGAGGAGGAAATGAAAGAAAGACTGAAAGGGAAACAAAGAAATAGAAGAGGAAAAGAGAAATACAGAGAGACTGAAAGGGAGAGGATTATTTATGCATTTCTGCAGGAGAATATTTAACAGCTGTCACCGACAGGGGGAGGTCGAAATAACAGAAACACCTTTCAACCCTTTGGAGTTTTCCCAGTCTCATGAAGTTTGTTTTTTTGTTCAGGCTGTTCGAATGTGCTGATCCATCTTGATGAGCAGAAAACTGATGTTTACAGTAGAGACTTCTGGGATATCACTTTCACTATAAACAGTGGCAAAACAAACCGATGATGACAATACTGCTAATGACCTCTATTATTCTTATAGTAATACTGCAGTAGTAGAAGCGCCCGACAGCTGTAAATGTGCACAGAGCACAATAGTTAACATTTGGCCTTTTAAAAATCAACTTTACCCTTTAACAGCCACAAAAAATGACACACATGAAAACATGAACAGATTTCCGCTTCAACTGTACTGAAGTTTAAGAACAAACCTGCTCATATTTATGGTGGTTTTGGGTGTATTCTATATTAATTCTATATTAACGCGGCGCATAAAACCAAAGGGAAACATGGTGTGAATTAATTTCACACTTCAGCATTAAAAGTAGTATATCAGGGAAGTTTGAAGAAAATGAGGATTTATACAGTGTTAGTTTTGGCCACAATAATCGAAGTGTGAACTGTTCTGTGGAATCATTTGTTTTTCCCTGTTGATAAAAGTGAGTGAAAGAACTGGAACGATGAGAAATATTTGAGGGAGCAGGTAGTTCAGCCAGACAAGTCGAACTGAGCCTGCTGAGGATCTGTGTTCAAGTGTGTGTGTGTGTGTGTGTTTCATTAATTCTTTCCACACTGGGGGAGGGGCGGGGTGGTGCTGGACCCATGTGAAAACACAGCCAGGAGGGACCGGGCTATAAATCAAACATACCCGATGACCTCCCAGGATAAAAAGAGAGCGCGGCCTACAAACATTCAGCGGCTTGTGTGTATTTAAAACAAATGTATGTGTTTAATACATACATGCTGCTACATGAAGGCGGGGCTGTGTTATAAATCAAACACATCCAACAGGCTCTCAGGTATGAAAAATAAAGACCCCTGGTGTTGTGCCGCAGCGTGGTTGAGTTTAAAATCGTTCTTCTGGCAGCGCAGCAGGACGCAGTATCGTCAGCTCTCTGATCTCTCTTCTGTTTTCTGTTTTCATACAAAGCAAAACTCGCTTAATAATCAGCTTTTAAATAGTAACATTCATACGAACAGTGTGAGGTTATAAATCACAAAACCCAAATACCTTACAGAGTGTAATAATGTGTCTACATGTGTATAAACATGTTTATATAAAAAATTCATGCTGACAAAGCGTCACAAAGCCAGTCCACAATCCCAGTGCGGCCGGGCCAACGCTGCGGCCATTTTCTGAGGTTTGTACAGTCTGCGACCAAAAAGACTTTACAGGCCATTAGATCATCCTTTAACAAGTCTGAGCTGCAAAATCCAGCAACAGCCAGTAATTCAAACGTTTATCAAAGTCAGTCACAGAGGAAAGAAAACATCTCAGTCTGTTCTTCGGTGTTTCGAACTTTGAAGAAAAAGCCAAAAGACTGATTTCTAGACCACTGGAGAAGAAATAAACCTGTATGCAATGCAGCTACAGAGTCTGAATAAAGGGCTGTCACTTCTTTAAACCGGAAACTTGCTCTCATGAAGTCATTATCTGTATTAAAGGAAGCTGAAGTCCAGAAGTGCAGCGTCTTTTTTCAAGTCTTAAGACTAAAGGGTGATAAGTTGCACTTTAACTGATGAAGTTATATTAAGTTGACTGTTTGTGGAAGGGGATTTTTTTCTTTGAAAATATTTATGTCTATCAACAGGGAAACTGTCACGAGTGAATTCAAGCAGCTGATGATCAATGAATGTTTACACGTCACACACTGTTTCGATAAATTGCCTGTGGCCACTTTATTTCCTGGTGTGGACGGGTTTTACCGGTTTTCCTGAGCGTGGGAAATCACATGCACTCACACACCTGTTACCAACTTTAAGGGGAATCTCAAACTGCAAACTGCAAGTTGTTTTTTAATAATCAGATTCCAATGGAGCGTCCTCACGTTCAAGCTATTGTCTCTCACGAGTCCCATTTCTCTGATGGAAATATAGCAAAACCCAAGGTCTTACCCAGGTCTTACTATTGTTATAATATACACTGATACCTGTTACACTCAGAACTTTCACTTTGTTTTGGAGGTGTACTTGTTCACTCAAAATAAAACTGTTCCTGATGTCAATTGACCTGTTAACGTCAAGTGGCCGTTAGAGGTTTGGAGGTGTCTGATGGCCTACCAAAGAACCACAACATCCACATTTCGATTCCCAGCCGGGTGATATGTGTGTCATCTCATAACCCTCTCTCTCTCTCTGCCCTCGTTTCCTGTCTCTCTATAGACTATCTACTATCAAATAAAGGCATTAAAGCATTAAGGTGCTGCAGAGTGAAGTTTTAGTCGGGATTGCTCTTTTTCCATATTTAAGACAAA